TGGTTCTGCTCATTTCACTTTGCATCAGTTCTTGTAAGTCTTTCCATAGCTTTTAAGGTTTTCCTAAGCTCAAAAATTCATGAACCTATACCTAGGTATCTTGTTTGAAGGTCCTTCCAGATCTAAGGCAATGATCCTATAAGAACTCTGGTTTAGCATCTAATGGCTAAGATGGTAGTACAGTAGAAAAACTTTGGCTTTGGAGTCAGAGGGCCTGGGTTCAAATCCTACCTCATCTGCCTAAATCTTGTATGACTTTAGGTAAGCAGCTAAATCACTCTGGCCCTCAGTCTCCTCATCTATAAAATGAAGGGGTTGGACAAAATGGTCTTTGAGATCCATTCCAGTTCTAACTGTGTGCTTTTCTGGTGTCACAAAAGGGTGAAAGGCCTGGGTTCAATCCTATTTCTTTTATGTCTTGGACAAGTCATTTTACCTTTGTGATCCTTACCTGTAGAATACAAAGGCTGTAGAATATCATCTCTATAGTTTCTTCTCCCTTAAAACCTATGCCTTTATGGGGGTAGATTAAAAAAAAAACAATTTGGAGGTCCAAACCCAATGTCTTTCACTGACAATTTGTGTGACCTTGAGAAAAATTACTTAATTTCTCTTTCTCAGTTTCCTTAACTGTAAAATGAGGGAATTGGACTCAACAGCCTCTGTGGTTCTTCCAAGCTCTACACCTATGATCCTTATATCACTTTAACTATCTAGGGCTCAGTTTCCCCATCTGCAACATGTAGTGTGGACCGGATGACCTCTGAGGTCCCTTTCAGCCCTAAATCTGTTATCTTGTGAGACTTTCACCTTAATCATCTTTTTCTTGACCCTTAGCACAACCTTGGGGGGCTGCTAGGCAGGTAATTTCCAGAAATAGGCAACAGGGAAAAGAAAGGCTTGAGCATTTCAGATCCAAAGTGGACTTCATAAAAATACCCTTTATGGAAATCATTTGGTATAAATTTGGCCAACTAGAATCTGGGAATAGGCTCTTTTTTTAAAAAGTAAATACTGTTTTATTTTTTTCCAATTACATGTCAGGATAGTTTTCAACATCCATTTCTTATACGATTTTGAGTTCCAAATTTTTCTTTCTCCCTCCCTCCTATCCCCCCTCCCAAGATGACAAGCAATCTGATTTGGGTCATATATGTGCAATCATGTTAAACATATTTCCATATAAGTCATGTTGAGAAAGGGGAACAGACTCTTTTAATCCTAATTTTGAGATCATAGATTTGGTGATGAAAGGGACCTGGGAGGTCATCTGCTCTAACCTCTTTATTTTACAAATGAAGAAAATGAGGCGCACAGAGAGAGGTAGCCAGTAGGAGGAGTGAAATGTGAACCCCTCCCTCACCGGTTCCAGGAGAAAAAAGAATGAAGTCAAATGCCTATTTTAAATATCCACATCTCTTCTGAGAATAGAAAAAAAAGAAAAGAAAAGCTCTTACAAAGCCCATTCCCCCATTACTGTATTTCAGCAACTAGATGTTGGGAGGAGCTTTGTAGGCCTCTGTGCTTGTTCTCTGTCTATGAAAAGAGCTTTGAAAGGAATTTCTGGAGTTGTGCTTGGCTTTCAAATGCTAATGGAAACTATAAGACAAAATATTGGAGCCTAAATATTTACAATAAAATGGGAAAACGGTAATTGATTTTTCAAATGTGGCCTTCCAGTCTCTTAGAAAAAGCAACTTTGGGAGAAAAATTGCCATCGGCAGGGACAGCCCTTCGGATAGGCTGTGGCCTAAATAAGCAAGTGCTAAGCCAGCAGCCTAACAGTGTCACATTGACTTGGCTCTCCACAAGGCATCCTTACCCTGGGTAGCATGGGGAAGGAGCTTTTTTTCCCCTAGTTTTATCATAGATTGGAATTGTTTGCCCAGGGGGCAGGCAGCACAAATGATTCTGAGGGCAAGAGATAGTAAACATGCTCTCACTTGAAGGTGTGGGGGAGACAGTGAGGCCAGCACAGCTTTTTGAGGCTGTTCCAGAAAGGCCCGGATGGGGATGGAAGTGGGGGATGGGGGGAATGGATAAGAGAGCACAGCTTGTAGCTTTCTAGCTTAACTATTTATTTTACTAGCTATAATAGCTAACATTTATATAGTGTCTTAAGGAATGCAAAGTGTATTACACATTAACCTCTTCCGATCCTCACACAAACCTGTGAGGTAGGGTAATTATTAATCCCAATTTACTGAGAGTCAGAGACATTAAGTGACTTACCCAGGATCACACAGCTAAGTGCTGTCTGAGGAAGGATTTGAACACAGGTCTTCCTGACTCCAAGCATAGCAATGTACCCACTGCATCACCAAGCTGTCTATAGGTCAGCACCCTCTAAATTTAAGGCCCTGTTACAAAGCCCCAGCCATTTTCACCTAGTTATAGTTCTGCTTTTTCACAATTTCTGAATAGCCTGAGCAGAACTCAAGTTCCTTCCCTTTGAGCACAAGATGCTGGATTTAGAGTCAGCAAAACCTGGGTTTAAATCTCATCTCTGATGCTAACCATCTCCTTAAGCAAATCAATCCCTCTCCCTGTGTCAAAAGGTATGTGAACTCAGTATTGTTCCCAGCCCTGCTTATCAGCCAGTGTTGGAGGAGGCTTTGGTGGGGAATGAGACACCAAGTCTGCAGTTTTTTGTATTACCTTCTCTTTGTTGAATACTCCTGCCTGCAAATTGTCACATTCATTTTTTTTTAGGCAATTGGGGTTAAGTGACTTGCCCAGGGTCACACAGCTAGTAAGTGTCAAGTGTTTGGTGTGAGGCTGGATTTGAACTCAGGTCCTCCTGACTTCAAGGCCAGGGCTCTATCCACTGCTCTACCTAGCTGCCCCTAAACTGTCACGTTCTTGCTGCCTTGGAGAGGAACTGAGATGCAAGAGCCCAGCGTTTTCTGCTGAGGTGGACATATGTGAATTGTCTTGAAGTTACCTATTAAAAGCTGTCCTTGACTTACTTATAATAAAATCCTTTTAAAACTTTGTCCTGAGTTTTGCCTCATTAATCAGGGTGAAAGCCCAAATGAAGAATTTTCCTTTCAACACCTGGATTTTCACTTCCTCAACTGTAAAATGAAGGAGTTGGACCACATGGCCATTGTAACTTTACCTCACATTCTATGATCCTCTTCATGCTTCAGTTTCCTCCTTTGTAATATAAGGATGAATTAGATGGCCTCTGAGGTCCCATCCAGCTCTAAATCTAGAATCCTATGTTCTAGTAAAACAGGGATGGTATGCAAAAAGTGGAACCATTTGGGCACCATTTGAGATGCCCCATTTTAGAGAAGATGTTGATGAACGAGAGAACAGGGAAGGGTATCCAAAACAATGTGGGGAGGGGAGATCAAGCTATATAGTAATAAGCTAAAGGAATCGCAGAGGTTAGCCTGGACCTGAGCAGTACATGATTGGAATGTTCAAGTATACTGGATTGTAGGAGCATAGGACTATAGATGTGAAGGTCGGAGGGATCTCAGAGACCACTTAGTTTAATCCCCTCCTTTTATAGGTGAGGAACTTGGGGTCTAGAGAGATGCAATGGTTTTCCCAAGGTTACACAGTTAAATATCAGAAGCAGAATTTGAATATAGGTCTTTGGATTTCTGAGTCTTTTTTCTCTCCACATATCACACTGATATGATGAACTGATATGTGAAATACAGATGTGAACTCATTCTGTTTGTCCCCAGAAGGTAGAATTGGGAGCGATGGGTAGAAACTTGATGTCAAAGAAAAAAAACAATAATGGAACAAAATTTTCCTAACAATTAGATCTATTCCAAAGTGAAATGGGGCAGGTAGGTAGTACAGTGGACAGAGCAATGGGCCTGGAGTCAGGAAGAATTATCTTGCTGAGTTCCAATCTGGCTTCAGACACTTACTGGCTGTGTGACTCTTGGCAAGTCACTTAACCTTGTTTGCCTCAGTTTCCTCACCTGTAAAATGAACTGGAGAAGGAAATGGTGGACCTCTCTAGTAACTCTACCAAGAAACCCCAAATGGGATCACAAAGGCTCAGATACAACTGAACAACAAAGTGGAATGGGCTATCTTTCAAGGTGGTCTTCAAGCAAAGGCTGCATAGCCACTTACTGGGTACGTTGCAGCAAGGATTCCTGTTCATGAACAGGTCAGACTAGGTGACTGATGAGACTCTTTTCAACTTAAAGATTTTATGATTCTTTCCTTCTACGAAAAAAGAAAGCTTTTCCAAATCCTAACTCTCCTTCAATATCAAGTTCAAATTCTGCTTCTTCCAGGAAACCTACTTTCACTAGATTTTCTCATGTCCTTCGCTGTCCTTGGTCCTTATCCCCTCTAGTAGTCATTAGACACTTAATCTCATTCAGTCAGATCATTTTCTGATTGTTCACGTGCATGATCTTTTGGCTTAACTAGAATATAAACTCCTTGGGAACAGGGATTGTCTTAGATTTCTTGATATCCTCTGTAGCACCTAGCACCAGGCTAGGCACACAATAAGACTGGATTCACTAAATATTTAATGAATTGAACATTCACATTTATCCCTGGGCAGGTCCAATATCGATCGCTTAGTCTTCCCACCATGACCCACCAGCAGCTGTTGTTTGGGCTGACAACTTGCTCTTTTAATTAATGATCAATGTGTCTGGGTTTGGGCCCGGCAGGAAACATTCAGTTATTAGCCGAAGAGGAGCTCAGAAGGCAAACCTCAATCCATCTGAAAGGCCCTCTATTCAATATTCTAGTGCCCCTCCCAGCCTATATTCAGTTATGGAAACCTAAAGATTTCCTGTTCCCTTTATTACTGAGATTATAGGAAGGAATGGCTGTTTTTGCTTGTCTCACTGGAGTCTCAGAACGTTAGCACTAGGGTGACCCTTAGAACAGAACGTCAGAGCTAGAAGGGACCTTAGAACATGGAATGTTAGAACTAGGAGGGGCCTTAGAACAGAGGATGTCAGAGCTGGGAGGGGCCTTAGAACACAGAACTTTGAATTTCATTTAGAAAGTACCTTGGAACTAAGGACCTTCAACTGAGTCCCCAGTGAAATAATCAAATTAATAAACATTTCACCATGACAGTCTCATTTAAACCAAATTCATGAACAAGTCAGGACATTACCCTCATGATATTACTGGTCCTCTTTGGAAATGAAGGGCCAACAATAATGACAACAACACAGGAGCTGCAGGTGAGACCCTCAGAAGACTGAAACTGACGACCTTCCTCCCGGCTAGTATGGAGAACTTTGTAGTGACCCAGGTAATAATGCGGGCTATTCTTCCTTCCCTCCTGGCCAGGTAATGACTTTCTACTCTCAAAGGGCTGACTGGTGTGCCACCTACGAGAAGAAAAAGTGTTGTTGCTACTGCTGCTTAAAAGCGGGCGGGGCTGGGAATGCCTCTTGACTTTCCAGATTTTTAGGGCTGATTTCATGTTCCCTTCAAAGGGGCAGGTGGGGAAAATAGTTCCAGGTAAAGATCATCAAAAGGAGGAACTCAAAAGGTGTAGGGAAAGTGACCTATCATGAGGCCAAAGGATAATATTGTGACATGGGGGAGAAGGGAGGAAAGACGTGGAGACCCAGGCCAAATCTCATCACACACACACACACACACACACACACACACACACACACACACACACACACAGAAGTCATAAATCACATGATTTTGAGCAAATCATATAGCACCCAGAGCCTTGGTTTTCTGATTTACAGAATAGAGATGACCACCCGTGGCGCTGAGTATGAGAGGAGGAAACAGCTGTGTGCTGTTTAAGGAATGGTGCTGGGTGGCAACAGGGGGAGAGAGGTCAGCCAGCGAGAGTAAGCGAAATGAGTGGAGAATGGTGATTCCTAGGAGAAGGTCCTGAGGCAGCTATTTGTTCAGATGATATTAACAATAGATGAGTCTGTTCTCAGGGGCACTGGTTGATCCACAAGTCAATCAGCCAGCATTTGTTAAACTTGTGTCAGGCCCTGAGGATAAAAATACAAAACCCAAACAATCACTGCCCTGGAGGAGCTTCCATTCTACTGGGAGAGATAAAGCATGTTTACATAAAAGTCAATATAAAATATATGCCAAGTCAATGCAAGATAATTAAAAGGGGCAGCACTAGCTTCTGTAAGGACCAAGAAAGAAAGGCTTGCAGAAGGGGAGTGTGAACTCCATTTGGGAGGAACTCTAAGAGGCAGAAATGAAAAGGGAGTTAATTCTGGGCATGGGGAACAGCCACTGCAAAGACACAGAGACAGGAGAAGGAAGGTCAGAAATGAGGGTGGTGGTAGGTCATTTTGGGTGGACCATAGAGTGAGTACAAGGGAGTAATATATATTGAACCTGGAAAAGTAGGTTGAAGTCAGACTATTAAGGACCTTAATTGCCAAATAGAGGAATTCATATTTTATGTTAGAGACAATTGGGAGCTAATGGAGCTTTTTGAGCACAGGGTGACAAGGTCAAACTTGTGCTTCACATAGGCAGCTCTATGGAGAGTGGATCGCAGAAAGGAGACTCATGGGATGGAGAGCAATTTGAAAGTCATTGCAAGAGTCCAGTTTGGAGGATAAGAGACTAAACTTTGGTCGTTGCTATGGGAAAATAGAGCAGGGAAGTATGACAGATTCTGTGGAGGTAGAATTGACAAGATTGGCTGTTAATTGGATAGGGAGATAGATAGATAGATAGATAGATAGATAGATAGATAGATAGATAGGTAGGTAGATAGATATGGATGGGTTAGATGGATGGATAGATGGATGGATGAATGGATGGATGAATAGTTAGAGCATTTGTTAAGTGCTTAATATGTACTAGGCAGTGTACTGATGATATGAGTGAAAACAAGCAAGATATCCCTAGTTTCAAGGAACTTTAATAGGGGAAGATGACAGATAGAGGTTATGAGACAAGGAAACAAGGGGGAGAGAGAGGAAGGGTACCTACATGGGGGCAATACGGCAGATATGGAGGAGTATGGAGAAAATCCAGTTGTGAGTGAAGTGAAGCATGGCTGGGGTCCTTTCTAAAATGATCATCCTAGGGTCAGAGTCACCACTGAGGAAAGGAGGGTCTCAGGGTAGAAGAAGAGTATCAACCAAGATGTGATGGAGAGTATCCCAGGCCTTGACATACCAGCTGACCCCTATCCACATTTGGCAATCTGATTGTGAAGAAGAAGAATCCTAGAGAGCATTGTTAGATATTAGAAAGAACCAGAGTAACCAAAGACCTTAGGGTCATGAGGGTGGTGTTTTTGGTCACTGTTGCTGATTGAAGGCACAGGCTCTGGAAGAGAAAGGCACATGGAGAAAGTAAACAGCTGACTAAGAAGATAGAGTCTAAGAACAGGGTTTGGATTTCTGGATCACATCTCAAAATGGAACTCTGGCCCATCATGGAACCTGACAAAAGATGGCTTAAAACTGTACCTGGAATCTTTGAAATCTAATCAAGAAGGCTTTAAACTGAAAAGAGATGGGAAGGAAGATGGCTTGTGCTTCACGGGAGAAAAACCCTAAGAAAGAAGCCAGCAATCAAACAAATGGTCTGAAAGGTCAACAACAAAAATGTAGATAACGAGAAAAGAGAACTAGAAATTGTAATCCAAGGGAGCAACTGATGACTTAACTAATGTTATCAGAACTTGGTGGTATGGGATCTATACCCATAACATAACTCTCAAAGAATGCCTTTATTCAAAAGGAACAGAATAGACAAGATAGGAGATTGGTACTAGACTTGGGATTTCACTGGTCTAGAGAATTCCCAGGTAAAGAAACTCTCTCTACCAATGTAGTTAGGCACCTTTTCTGCAACTCTCTTCCTAAGAGGAGTGCCTAGAGCCATGAGAGTTTCTGTAAATTGTTTGACTTGGGTCAAAGAAAGAAGAGGGGTAACTTGAACTGAGGTCTTGTTGCCTTCCAGGCTGGCTATCTATCCATCCATTTATCTATCTATCTATCTATCTATCTATCTATCTATCTATCTATCTATCACATCCTGCTTGATACAGGGTATGAATTAAGAAGATCTACTAATGTGAAGACATCTAGGAGCCAAAGGTGGAAGAGGGTGGATCATGGCAGAGACCACTGGGGTGAAAAGCAGTGGAAAGAGAAATAAAAGTGATATTTCTGGGGAATACTATACTAGAGACCCTTTCCCAGAAGGAGAAGCAAAATGGTAGGATGGGGAGAATTCACAACCTAGAATCTATCTCCAAAAAAAGACCTAGGTTCAACTCTCACCACAAAAAAAAATCATAAACGATGTGATTTTCAGCAAATCGTGTAACATCCTGGAGCCTTGGTTTTCTAACTTACAAAACAGAGAAAACTACTTTTATTATCTGTAGCAAAGAAAATACTTCATAAACCTTAAGGTATTTTATAAATGTAAGCTAAGGCATTTAGGAGAAAAGACTGCCCAGAAGACAAGAGAAATTTGGAACAGTAAATACATTTCTGAAATTGGCAAGGAATAAGGATGAATGTGTGTTTACTGTGTAATGGAGGAGAAGAGACACATCCCACTTTCTATAAGGGTCACAGAGGGAGTTTAGAAAAAATAAGTTTTGTGGCTTTTAAAAGAGAATAAAAAGGGAAGGAAAAGAAGAAATGTGGAAAAGGGAGGGATGCAATATTTTTCATTATTGAGTTGCTTTTCAGAAGAGCATACAAACATCAAGGGGAGCGTGCATCTCATGAACCTCAACCTTAGCTGAACCTGATGAAGAAAGGTTGAAACACACACACACACACACACACACACACACACACACACACATGAGTTTGATATAGAAATACATTAAATTCAATAGTGAAATTGGTGAGGAAAGGAAGAGAAAAGGGGAGGGGAGAAGAGGGTGACAGTAGTGAGAGACACTGGGGAATATTGTGATGGAGATGTAAAAGGAAAAAGAAAAGACCATCAATGGCACATTTAAATAATACACAGAGGAGAACATAAGGAAGTTCAGAAGGGGACATAAACAAGCAGAGCAGTGTTAGTACTTCAGAGTTCACTTTAATACATACTTTTAAAGAAGAATCAATTTATATGTAATGGATGGTTTCATATGAAATCCTTTTTTTTTCTCTTTACGTTTGGAAACATTCATGTTTGTTGATACTTTCAAATTGTTAATAATAGTGATGATGAGGGTGGTAATAATAATAATAATAATAATAAAGAAAAACACTTAGAATGATTTTTTTTGTGGTAGCCAAGGACCGGAAACAAAGTCAATGTCCATTGACTGGGGAATGGTTGAACAAATTGTGTTACATGAATATAATAGGATATTGTTACTGTGCCATAAAGAAATGCTGACTATGAAAAATTTAGAGAAGCATTAGAAGATCTATATGAACAGATGCAAAATGAGACAAGCAGGACCAGGGAAAGGATGAATACACAGGAAGGCTACTACAATGTAAATTAAAATAACAAGAATGAAACACTATTTTGTAATTATAAAAACTAAGCTTGGCTTCTGCAAAGGGGCTAGCCATGCATCACCTCATTTATATCCCCACCCTCTCCAGGCTCTTCATCTCCATCTGCTGAGTTGTTGCCATGTGAGTAACCTTCCTCTCCTCCTGCTGCTTTCCATTTCCCCTTTATGTGTCATCTTCTCCCATTAAAATGTAAATCCCTTCTTTGAAGAGGTGGAGGACTATGGAAGTGGAAAACTGCAACACCCCATTGTTGTGTTGGTTAGTTTTACTGAACTACTTTTCTTTCTTTTTTCTTTGTTACAAGGAAGAGCTCAATGGGGGAAGGATATACTGGGAAATTATGGTGATAAAAAAATCAACACTTTTTAAAAAAAAGTTGGCATGGAAGCATAAGGTAGTAGTGAGGAAAGACTTCATTAAAATGGCCAGCTCCTGGAGCTTTTGCTTGACCAAAAGCAGTGCAGCTAAGAACATCACGGCTTGTCCTAGTGATTGCATTGAGAGACACTGTGACAGGTCAATGTGACGAAAATAACATGGGGACTGCAATCATAAGACCTGTCTTCAAACCTGGGCTCTCCATTTACTTTGTGACTTCCATCTCTGACCCTCAGTTCCTTCCTCTATAAAATGGAGTTGGATTAGGTGATTACCAAGGCTTCTGAGATCCCATGCATCTGGTGCTGGGAGCCTGCCAGGAGGACCCCTTGAGGGAAAGGGGGTTTCCAATTCAGGAGACTTTCCCACTGATTTATATATTTGTGCACATCTTTCTGAGACTACAGCTGAAATCGGA